AAATTGGTCATGAACAGAAGCATTCGTGACCCGAGGTACCACTGTATAGAGAGAGAGACAGACAGACGGACAGACAGAGAGAGAGGAGGGAGGGGTAGTCCTCGACTTATGAACATTCATTCAGCAACCATTTGAAGTTATGATGGTGCTGAAAAAGGAGACTTATTACCGATCCTTGAAGTTGCAGCCGTCCCAGCACCCCTGTAATCACGTGGTCATGATCTGGATGCTTGACAACCTGTTCACACTTACGACCTGTTGCCAAACACACCGCAATCACACAATCGCCATTGCAACTTCCATGCTGGCTTCCCCAGAAAGTCAAAGAGGAATCCAGCAGGGAACATCGCAAGTTGCTGGGATAAGTTTCCCTCAGCCACTTATCCTCTCCCAGCACCTCTGTGTTTGCACCACACTGGCCACTCAAGCACCCCCATGCACCCTCCCCACCCAGCAGAAGCCACTTACCTGCCTGCAGGCCTGGGACTTGCAACTTCCTGCCAGCTTCCCCACTGACTTTGGTTGTGGGAAGGTGACAGGAAGTTGCCTTGCCTAATGACCATGGGATTCAGTTAATGATGGCAACCAGGATGCAGGGATTGCCATCGCTAAGCAATGTGGTCGCATTTTACAACCACATTGATTAGCAATGGAAATTCCGGTCCCAATTGCTGTTGTAGGTCAAGGACCACCTGTTTCTCGGTGTGTGTGTGTGTGTGTGTGTGTGTGTGTGTGTATTCATTCTCTAGTCCTATTGGATTACAGTTAACCTTTTCTTGTTCCCCATCCCCATAATATAATAACCACCAAATTTTTAATTACTCTTCTAGGCATTTACCTGAAAAAGTAAAAGATGATATCCAAGTCAAGAATATGAGTGGGCAGTGGTTTTATGAAGCCAAGGCAAAGAGGCACAGAGAGAAAATACACGGAGCCGATATTATCCGGGCATCGATAAGAAGGAAGCCCTTGACAATAGGTATGTTGATCTGAAAAAGAGAAGCATGACTTTTTGAAGAAGGAGAGATGTTTGTTTTGGTAGATCTTCAATCAAGAACATACTTTATTATGTTTCTAAAATGAGGAAATGCTTTTAATGCTCTTGATTCAAGTCAGCTTTCCTCCAGCCTACTGCCCTCTAGATGATTTGGACGTCAACTCCCATAATTGTAAGCCAGCATGATCAGTGGCTCTCGCTAACTGGTACCTTAAGAGTGAATCTATCTATCTATCTATCTATCTATCTATCTATCTATCTATCTATCTATCTATCTATCTATCTATCTATCT